ATTCACACTGTTCAAGACATTGTTTTCTGCGTATTTATTTGTTTTGGAACTTTGAACCTTCTACTATTATTTCAATTTTTAAAAATCTTTATAAGGCATGGCATTAGTTATGCTATTTAATTGTTAAATTCTCTAATGTGCTTATATAGATTATGCTATTTGACAACATTACTCCAGGATAATGCCATAGAAAGTACTGTATGAATTCATTCATTTTTAAGCTTCTTAATTCCCCTTTGAAAATAAAGGTTTCAAATATGTATATAATCTATATATGTAAGCATATATGTATACATATCACAACTTACCAGAGTTTAAATATAATAATTATGTATTTAGAGGTATATTCACTTTAAATGCACCTTTATGTACATAATAATCTTAATATTATATATATGTATACTGTTTTATAAGTACTATAAACTGTTTTAATCTTACTGCAGTGATGTAAGTAGTATAAATTTAATATTAAGAAAATAACTATATGCCAAAAATTATGCTAGAAAAATAATGTAGTATTTGGTCATTTATACGAGGGCTTTGGAGTCAGCCTTTGGGTTAACTGCCCAGCTGGAGTCTCAGTTTATTCTTCTGTAAAATGGAGACCATACCTACCTCCCAGGATGACAGGGTGAGTTAAATCAGATAACACAGGTTAAGAGCATTGGACACTGTCAAGCAGATAGTTAAAACAAACAAAAATATATATATAGTTTTATTACTGAAAAACAATTGACACAAGACAGAATGGCATTTTCTAATATGATTCTAGAAGTTTCTTTACAGGTTTTTAAACTATGTAGAATGTGTATATATCTATCCTAAATGATTTGTTGTTCATTATGGACTGGTAAGTATGACATTATTTCTAGTGTTGCACACTATTACAGAGAGAGAGAAAGAGACTTCCTCCCCTCTGCTGTAGCCAAACCTTGGCAAAAACATCAAGAGCCTAACAATGCCAATGCTGGGAGTTCGATTTGGGGAACGTCCACAAGCAAAGCCTATGCTGCAGTTTGGTACTGTAGCCTAGAAGGGGAAGGGGGACATTTTAGAAATTCTTTCCATCTTACTCTAAAATCATGAAAAATCTTTTTCCATAGAACCTGGAAAAATGTCCAAACATACTTCATTTGCTTTTCCACCCGATACTAATTACTAACTAAAAACATATAATAAACATTTCATTAAACTAAGAAACAGTACTAAATGTCTATTTTACATTGCATCATATCATGAAAGGCAAAACCAAAAAATAATGGGAGAAAATTCTGATGAATTCATTTATGCATTAAGTAATTAAATAAGGATTTACCAAACTCCTACTATGGTCCAGCACTATGCACTAAAAACATGAGTGAAAAACAATTAGTAAAGGAATTAACTAATGTCCAAAAGTGATTATTTGGAAATACAATAATAATCTACCTGACTTTTTTAGAGTTCAATAACTAAACTGTTTGGGTTTGAACCGGTAAGCTGGTTCTTACTACACACAGTCTGTTAGCACACCATAGATGAGTTTCAAAATGGTCCCACAAAATGCAGCCTCCACCAGCCACGGCAATTTAGATCCCATTCTGCTTCTCCAACTCCCAAATTGCAACAGAGCTCATTGGTTTCTACTGACAATGCATTGCAGACATTTTTTTTTCAGAAGTTAAATAATAATTTCATCTTTTTTCCAATTTGTATAAATACCTTAAAGGTCAACATTAATATAACAAGTTTCTAAGTGAGCCTGAAGTTTAGGAAACAGACCACAAAATGTATGCTGTATGGGTTTAGTTAATTACAAAAAGTAGCAAATAGTTCCTTTCCCCAAACATGAAATGATTCACTTACTTTGAGTGAAATCTGAAAAGAAGAATGGTTTCAAGGGTTTTACAATATCCAGAAGGATCAGTAAGTCTTTTTTTAGGGATTTTATGTATGAGTCTACTAAATCATTTTTGAGGAAAAACGCTATATAATTTTATCTTTCTCCAGCACTAGCCTATTAGAAGGCGTTCAATAACTGAAAGAATGCCATTTTTGAGAATACACTGATTTATGTTAACAAATTCATCCTCCTTTTCAAAAATCTTGTGCGATGCTGCCAACACTCGGTAAGGTTCTGGACAGTGTCATCTGTCCCTTCCCTCTTTCCCACAATAACTCTCCTCAGAAGCAAAGCTCTTCAGAAATGCTTGTGGAATGAATAAATTAAGGTTTTCATGATTACACATTGCAGAGAAAATTAACCGAGGACAATGTATCAGTCTCCTTCAATCGGTATAAATATTCCTACCTCTTGGTGTACACTCATATGTGTTTAGGGGTCAGTCGTTGAGCACTGATCATTCTTAAGTGTGTCAAAATAACAAAGCTAAACTGTCTGTATGACATGTTTTGGATAGTCTTGAGAGGAAATCCTACATGGACACTAAGGGAAGGTGGAAAAGGTGTTACTGATCTCCTCAGCAAGGCAGAAAATGTCTTCCATTTTTTAAAAAGGCAAATTACAAATAAGGGATTTATTGACATAAAAATATGTTGAAGTCAAAGATAATGTTAAGGAATTAAAGCAACAGTAATACCCATAACTGCCCTCCGATTCAATATCTATCTTGAAATTGAATTTCAAAATTAATATTTTTCATGTAAGGCATAAGGCCTAGGATCAATGGATTCAACTGCTTCTGTGGCAAGATGAAGGGTTAGTTTCTCAGCTTTCAATTCCAAATAAGACATATGTAAAATCAGTTCTTTTAAGAACTGACAGCCTTGACCTTTAGGTATATCCATTGCTGAAGACAAAAACATCAGTGAAGAAGTTGCAATATTTTATTCACAAAACTCAACAATACTGAGTCATTCCTGGGCTTTTCCTTTCTACTGCTCACTCATTCTGCCCGGAAAGGGCAAGCCATTTCACTTACCCATTAAAAAAAAAATTCACTTATCAATAAGAAACCATTAGGTAAAAATCATTACCTAAAACATTACTCCTAAGTTCAAATTTATACATTTTAATGTAGATAAGCATTTTGGACTTTAAAAAAATTATTACAATAAATAAAATTTGAAAATAAGCCAGACATCTTAATATTCATTAATAACTTATAACAGGTAAAGGATATAATTTTTCAGAAAATTTCTAATCAAAACAGCCTTGGGTATTGGTTTTATCTGCATAGGAAGTTGCACATGCTACAGACAATGATCAATGTAGGCTTACGGATAAAAGACCAACAATAAAGAGATTAACTGAAATAAAAACATTCCAATTCTTCCCTGATTTTCTCTCATTTAAACAGCTAAACAAAACAAGTAGTACCTTTAAATTTTCTGAATGAGTAGTTTCCAATCAATGCTTCCTCAGTTAGAGATAAGCTGAAGAATCTACCAAAACAAAAGAAAAAAACCATATATACATAGAATTGTTAACTAAATATCAAAAATTGTGACTCACCAGTAAGCAAGTGCATTCTTTATATCCAGATAATAAATCTATCCCTTGATATCTGTAGTATAAGAAATGCAGTACTTGAATTCTTAAGCTCAGTAACGAATTTTAAAGCATTTTACTCTGAGATCACATAAAGAAGATCCTTTGAAAAGCACATTAAAAATAAAGCAGAATAAAAGCATAAAGCCCCAAATCATTACCAGTGCTGCTGCAGCAATACCCCCGAGCCTAGCCTTTGAGAATTGCTGCAGAATTCTTCTCCAGGAGCATTATCTCCAGGCTGGCTCGCTGGCTTTCTAGCTCCAGACAGACGCAGTCTGCAAGCCACCAGCTCCTGTCTGTGTGTGTCGGGGAAAGGGAGGCTGCAAATTAGAAAAAGTCCCCGCAGTGGCAAAAAGGAAAATAAGGCAAGTGGGAGAGGGAGAGAGAGCTCACTAGCCTCAGAATTTTCCAGAATGATGACAAGCCACTCAGCTCCGCCATCATTCACTGACAATAGGATGCAGCCCTGGCTTCCGATTTAGCGGTTTGCCATAGGGAGGTCCTGGTACCAAATGCCTGACAGGCATTTTAATTGCCTCCATCCAAGTGTGTCCCCAGGAGCCGAATCCATAAGCCTATGAATGTCATCATCTGGTCTCCTTTGTGTTAATGCCAGGCACGCACACCACACATACACATACACACACACACACATAGACAATCTTCAAGCATATAAGATTACAAACAAGCTAAGCTACACAAACTAGACATGAATAAATGGTAATTTTAAGAAATTTTTACGATTTCCATGAAGGACACCAGAAGAGTCTTATGTTTTGTCACTGGCAGACAATAGCAATATTTTAAAAACTGTTGCATATCACTTATTCATATTCCAAATATAAACTGGTTATTTTTATTCCAAAATACAAATAATAAATTCATATGCTAATGTACATTTTCCTGTGGAAAATTCAATCCCTTTGTAAGTATGATAAGTACGCACTTGGTAATATTTTCTTTACAAAGGAGCAAGGACAAAAAAAAAGATTAGGAAACTAAGGGTCGATATGTATTTCAGGGGCAATCCATTTTATGCTGTTTCCATACAAAAGCAAAAGGAAGTGGCAACTAGCTGAGTGCTGGGACTTAGCAGTCCCTGAGAGCCGAGGCAGAGAGCTGAATCTTGGGCATAATCAGTATCCCTTTCATGTCAGTAACTGAAATTAACAGTTGAATATCCCTGTTTTACAATGGCCCTTATGTAGGGAGGTTAAGTGTAGAATAATTCCCTGCATGAATTTCCTGGAGAAAAGGGAAGAAGAAAAATGTTAAGTAAATTAATTTTTATGGCACTGTTAGTGCCCTGTACCAGTGAATGGAGTAAAATTCAATGCGCACCAAAAAGGCCAGCTTCGCTGGGAAGGAGTATCACCATGGTTACCGGAAACAGAAAGTAAGGCGGAAAAAAATGAGGTGACCAGAGAGGAGAGGGAAGGAAACCACAGTAGAGGAAATTTAGAGGCAAGATGATACGCTTTATCCTTTTCCTTCTTGAAACAAGCATCTCTGTCAGTTTTATATTATACTTTGGATTTTAAAGTGATTTCAGATCAGCAGCTAATTTTGCTTTCATAAATATTAAAATTGGGGGCTTTTGGGGTATGAGCTTGATCCTGCTTCTCCTTGCCACTGAACATATACTGGATACATGGAGCCCTTTCAAGCTCTCATAGAGCTTTCTCCACATCCTTTGTTTCACAGGTGAGAAAGCTGAGGCCCAGGGAGAGTGAATGAGGTCATGAATCAGGTCTGGCTGCTTGACTGTCTACTGCCCATCCTTTCTAACCAAGGAGCATCCTTTCTCTTCTCTCCTCACCCTCAAAGCTGCAGACAAAACAGACTCCAGACACATCCTTTGTGTTTGAATTTGTAAACCTTTCATTTGCAAAAGCAGTAATCTTCCTCTTTAAAACACACTGCAATCATTTTGTGAACTAGCTTAACTCCATATGGCTCTGGACTGTATTTGAGATCTGAAAAATCTGGGATAATGATGTCAATAGCTTTTCTTTCATTTCTAGTGTGGCAATCAGATAAATAAAGCATGATTGCCCTTCTGTAGACCTATCTTGTGGAGCCTGGACTTCATCATCATATACGAGGTATCTCGTCAGCACTGGCATAACTTTCTAAGCAAGCATGAAATTGGACAATCAAATTGAACCAGCCTCCCAAAGTTTCTCCTAGACACAGATAATGGGAGCCTTCCCTGGGTTATCCAAAGCACTGAAGCTGGAAAATTGAAAGCCCAGGTGAACTGCGCCGGGGGCGGGGGAGTCAAAAACAACCACTGGAGGGTGCAATATTTACTAAAATTGTTTGGACTACTCCATAAAAGTAAGTGGCTAGGATTTTGGTACTGATGTTCTATTGTTTTTATTTTCCTTCAGGGCTGGAAGTGTGACTCAATGAAAAAGCATGTAATTAGTGTGGACAAGATCCTGGGTTGATTCCGCAGCACCAAAACAAAGAGAAATTAAAAAAAAATAGCTTTCTCCTTCCCCCTCAATATTTAGTACTTATGACTCATTGATTTTATGTTAATTCATCTACAGAACCATACATTTTAAATTTTTTTCTACTATATATTAGCTGCTGCCACCACCACCCTCTCTTTTGCACCTCAGCTAAAAACCAAATAAATCACACTAAAAATACATATGATTGCCATTGGCAAAATTTATGAGATTTTATGACTTAGTGAATCCTACATACAGGTTAGGATTCCTCCGCCTAAAATGTATCATTTTCAGTATGATCTCTGTAAAATATCTATTTTTCTTCAGTGATTTTGGACAATAAGTTTATTTCTCACAGTGAATGCTTCATTTTCATCTATTGTCTTCTGTTCACTTGTGAACACAAAAAGTGATGCATAAGACTCATTTCTGAAAGTCATTTAATATTTAGGGGCGTCTGGTTCAATAAATGTAAATGAATTAGTATATTCTTTATTTTTAAAATTTGTTTCCAATACGAAGTAAGCACTATATGTTAAATATAATTCTTGCCCTGAAGTAGATTATATTCTAAAAACAAGATGACAGCTAATCAACAAATAACCGAGAGACTTCTGTGACTTTCTTGGTTTTTTATATTTATTCCTGTGAGCTGTCACTGTGCTGCTTTCCTTTCCCTTGCTATTTTGGACCCGGCTTCCCATCATCCTGCAGTTTCATGTAGCCAATTGTGATGGGACATGCATGTATACTTCAGATAGTTAGCAGGTTATATGACTGGGGAGCAAAAGAGAACACCATTTCCTGTTCAAGGAACTTCAGTGGCAGCACAGGGAACACAGGGGTAAGAAAGGCATCTGTCCCTTCCCTCCTTGGAGCATGGGCCTCCCAGGTGGGGCCTCCCTGAAACTGCCCTTCCCATGCCCATTCATCTCCTGCTCCATTTTTCCTCAGCACTTATCATACCATGAATTATCTTTTTAATTATGTTTATTCATATTACCTCCTTTTTCTGCTAGCTCCACGAGGGCAGTTTGGGGCACATGTTTGGGGTACTAACGTACCCAAAGCACTGAAAACAGTACCTCAAACATTCTGGTAACTCAAACATATTTTTTAAATGAGTGAATATGAAAATGATATTAGTGGATGAATTGGAATGTTTAAACTCAAGGAAACCCTTTGTATTCCATATTGATTTCCCAATTCCTATTTTATATATTAAGTCTTCCTTATAAATACTGTCTTTTATTTGTACGATAACCACATTGATGGAATCAGTATTTTTTATAATTTCCACTGTTAAATAAAAATTTATTTAAAATAGAGATTTTTCTCCTACTTTCTTTACATTCTACCTTAGAGTTATCAGCTCTTAAATACCGAGAAAGAGGTGGTTTGCCTGCTGGTGGTGGTAAAATATGCTTTAATTTTAGATCTTAAAAATAAAATTAGAATAATTAATTAATGCTCCCTCAGAGCAAAAATACTTTGGAATTGCTTTGTTAAAATTTGACTGTTAATACTATAATGTGTACTTTAAAATTAAGAGTAATAATAATTACACTTGCATTTAGTACACTTCAGTTTGAGTTATTCTAATGTAAGAGGCAGATGTGTAAGTACTTTGCCAAATTATTACCATACCCCAATTCACTAAACATTGTCTTGCCTTATTTAATATAAATAATATTTTTTCCTTCAACAAAGTTGGTCCACAAAAGGATATTATGATTTAAAAAGAGAGGAAAGAAAGTCATAATTAGCAGTCTTAATTACATGAAATGTTGAAATTCTATTACTTTTTACCTACAAAATGACAATCTCATAAAGTTCAACCTAATACCTAGAGAAGTTATAAAAGAATGTAGAATTAAATAGAGCAAGTTTTACAAAACAACTCCTGTGGTTGTTTCAGCATATACATAGTTTTGCCATGCTGGGGCCTGATGCCAGGGCCTTGCTCATGCCGGGCAAATGCTCTGCTGCATGCTGAGCTATACCTCTAGCCCTGACTGTAGCATTATTCATAATAGCTGAGATATGGAAACAAACCATGTCCATCTCTATATGAATGGATTCTACAAGATGACCCTAAAAATATTTAGGTAATGTTCCACCCTAAAAAAGAATGAGACCTTGCCATGTACCACAATGTGGATGAGCCTGGGGGACGTTATGTTAATTGAAATAGGCACAGAAAGAAAAAGATTGCTTGATCTTATAGTTATATGTGAGATCTTTAAAAAAAGATCACATAGGGATTGGGGATTGAGCTCAGTGGTTCCACCACCTGCTTTGCAAGGGCAAGGACCTGAGTTCGATCCCCAGTATCAAAAAAAAAAAAAGATCACATAATGGAGATAAAGAGAAACATTACTGATTACAGGGTGGGGCGGGAGGTAGATGGGGTCAAGTCAGGAGGCAATGAAAGTAGTAGGTCCAAGGACATAAAGTATGAAATGCACAGGATGAACAAGTCTAGAGATTTCATGTGCAGCATTAAGACTACAGTAATAAAGTTGTACTGTAAAAAAACCCACATCATGGCCCATAAATATACACAATTATGACTTGTGAAACAAAAATAATATTGATTGAAATTATGGTAAACCTATATAACAGAATAATCTTTGGCAATAAAAGAAATGATGTTTTGATATATGCTCAACACAAATGAACCTCAAAAACATTACAGTAAGTGAAAAGAAGGCAATTACAAAAGGCCATATATTGTGATATACATAAAGGCCATGTTTAAAATAGTCAAGATGATAGAAACACAAAGTGCATTAGTGGCTGCAGAGGCTGGGGCAGAAAATAATGAAAAGGGTCTGTTAGTGGGTATGAAGTTTTTGAGTGATAATAGGGTTCTGAAATTAGATAATGACTATTGCTCAATTATGAATATACTAAAATTCCCTGAATTGTACACTTTAAAAGGATGAATTTCGGGCCCAGCAATTTAGCTCTGTGGTTCTGCCGCCTGCCTCGAAAGTGCAAGGACCTGAGTTTGATCCCTGGTACCAAAAAAAAAAAAGGATGAATTTCATGTCATGTGAATAACTATCAATACATGGAATTCCATGGCCCCTAATTAAAATATAACCAGTTCAAACTCAGTCTATGGTGCCTATTAGATTATTACAAATAATTAGAAGCATAGGTCCAAAAGCTGTTGATTTTTTTAAGGCCATGAGGTTTTTAGACTTATTTGAGGATCTGAAAATAAATCCCCCAAAAATGTTTCCTTCAGTAGTAGGCTTAAAATATTGTTTTTAATAGTACAGTGGATTAACCTGGTAACATTAATGAAAGACACATGCTGTAAAGGATGTCTGAATTATATGATGAAAAGCTGGCTGGGAGTTAAAAGAAAATCACTAAGCACAAACAAATAAATATATGTAAATCTTTCACAGTTTTCTTAACAAACTATAATAATTATTACCATCAACAAAGTTTAGTTACCAATTTTTTCAAAAATGAAAAAAATCAATCAATAGATTGAGAAACTCATGTAAAGGATTTGAACAGCTGATGATGGAAAAATTTATTACTGAAGTTCAAAATTTTTACCCCCAAAGTAGAATCCTGAATCACCTGCCTCCTTCCCCAAGTTCAATTGCTTATGCTTGGTGATAGGCTACATTAATTATTATTAACTTATCGTGAATTCAACCTTTCGTTTGCTTTTACTAGATTTATGCCACTGAACACGATTATTTACTTATTTAAAGTTGGAAAGTACACTGATAATGTCCAGGCTCCATGTCCTATTTATTTGCCTTTATTTTAACCACCTCTTACACATAGAACCAAGTAGTAAATATGTTAAACCAAAATATTCAGTATCTCTACTAAACTTATATGAAGACTGAATCAGAATTAAAGTGTGTTTGTAAAGATGGGTCACTGGCTGTCATCTGACATCTTTACTGTGATTTTGATTAGATTTGGTTTGCAGTGGGAAAGATGAAATTTAGAAACATTCACATTTCACTGGAAAATTTTGCACAGTAGTTTTAAAAATAATATACATGCTTTTCTTTATCTCAACAGTGTTTTTATTTCTCATTCATCAAAGACAAACCAGTAGGATGATTGAAATGGAGAGACGGAGAGGTTTTTCTTGTCAGCTCTCAAAGTTTGACCACAGTGTAGTGAAAGAGCGAGCTTAAAAGCCAATGAAGTGGCTGAACCCAAAGTTTTATTCTTCTGATACTTTCCCAAAAATAAACTGAACTAAACTTTTTCTAAAGTCCTTTTTTAAAAAAAATGACATGAAGTATAATAATGAAGAAAAATAATTGTTACTTCAATCCATCAAGTCATAATTTAATTATACTTTAAAAATTATTTTGGGAATAAAATGCTCTTCAGAGAGTTGAAAAGAAAACTATAATAGTAGACCAAGTGGAACTATACATTGCTGGTGGGAGTGTAAATTAATGCAACCACTCAGAAGACTGTTTGGCCACATCTAATAAAGCTAATTGTGTGTCCACCCTCTGACCCATCCAGTAATTCCACATCTAGGTAGATACCCAAGAGAAATGAGTACAAGATGTCTGCCTAAACACACTTGCAAACATGTCCTCAGTGGCTTTATTTCTAATAGCATGACATTGCAAACCACCCAAATCCTCATGAACAGAATGGATTGTCATATATTACTATAATGGATTACTACACACACACACACACACACACACACACACTCATTGGAAAAAATTATTACTACTTGCAACTACATAGAAGAATCTCACAGGCATAATTATGAGTGAAAAAAGCCAGAGGACATGTTATATCATTCCACTTGTATGAAATTCAAGAAAAAATCAAACTAATACTTAGAAGTCAAAAGATCATCTACCTTTGTGGAGAGCAGGATGAGGATGGCATTTACCGGGAAGAAGTCTAACATCTTCCTCACCTGGGCAGTAGTGACATAGGGAGCTGGGCAAGGAAGAAAGATGTGTGCACTCCATTATGTTGTACCCCAAAAGTATAACAGTCTCAATGAATAGTGTGCTATCATTGGTTTGGAAACTGTTCACAGTATGTTTTAGAATCTTTAGGGAATATTATGCAAGAGGGTTCTGGTATGATCAGATATTCTGCAAATATGCCATGAACTATGACTTTGTGAATGAAAGCCATATGATGGCCATGTGTATGTTAAATAATAAAGTTGTAAGAGTACAATTTACCAGTAGGGAGAAGACATTTTACATAGGTCTTATAAATAAAAGGCAACTGTGAATAAAAATAAAAACAAACAAATAAAATGTGTATTTTAGGAATATCAACTAGTAAAAGTATTTGCAGTGATTTTTATTGAAGTACACTGTTAGAACAAAGTAATGGACAGTTAAGATATTTCTTTCATCGATCCCTGGCACCAAAAAAAATAAAAGAAAAAGAAAAAGATATTTCTTTCTCTTTTGTGGTAGGAGGTGAGATGGGGTCTTGCTATATCATTCAGGCTGGCCTTGAACTCACTATGTGCCCCAGGCTGGTTTCAAGTTTGAGATCCTCCTACCTCATCATCCTGAGTGCTGGGATTACAGGCATGCACCACCATGCCTGACTAAAACATTTTCAATATATTCCTTTCACAAGAATCCCTTGCCCATCAATGCCCTCCATACTTGCTAGTTTATTTCAGGATTCATCTTCCTTTCCAACCCAAGCTTATACTTCCTCTTTGGTCTATTTAAAGTTCTGAATCTTTCATAATGGCTTCCAAAACTTTCACAGCACATAATGCCACAAAAGCTCTTTCCTTTCTTGGAATTGCACACACACACACACACACACACACACACACACACACACACATACACACATAAAAAAATACTGTAATAGATATGATATATGGCCTTGGGCTGATTTTCAGTTATTTATATTCAGTTGTTGAGTATACTACTGACCAATTTAAAAAATATAAGATGTAATTCTGATACAGCATAAGTAGCTAAGTATATATAATATGCCAATTTCTCTTATTACATTATTTTCTTCAACAATTCTGAGAATTATATACCTGTATATTATAATAAAGGAAATAGGCCCAAGTAGCTTTAGTAAGGTCCTCAAGGACACACAGCTGATAAGTAGTAGTGAAATTCAATCCCTGAACTTCTGAGTCAATTAG